GATTTCGCTCAAACTCACTCCCATTAATAGACGTTTGGCATGTTTCTTTGGGACCTGCATGTCCCTTGACATCGTACTAACTCCCTCTCGTTTTTATGGATAGTTTGGCATGTTCCGGTTGGGCGTTGTGTGGCATATTTATTAAAGTATAGTTCTTTGGGTAGCCGCGATGTTCTTCAAACATAATTCGTTCACTCACTCCCTTGCTAGAAATTCGTTCTTACCCCCCTCCTCTTTTTTTTTAAAGAAAAGATCTGACAATCGAATAATGCGAACGCTTTTCTCAATAGAAAAGAAGCAGTTTGTTACTGAAGAGACAGCTGCAGAAATTGCTCGAAGGTGAAAGTAGTAATCTTATTGTAAATTTTAATTTTAAATTTGATTTGTACAACTTTTATTATTAAATTATGTTATATTATAGTTGATAGTTAGTAAACTTTATATTAAATTTTTAATAAGATAGAAAAACTTAGAGTATAGTATAGAACTGGGAGCGGAAAAGCGATGAGCGAAATTAAAGAGGGAGGAGCGATCGGATATGGGATGATGGATATTTCTGCACAAAAAATAACAAGGCAATAGAGCGGTAGTTTTAGACACAAAAGCTCAGGTGCTGTTTTATTACGCAATTTTATGAAAAAATTTGGATCAATATAATTACTGACAGCAAATTATAGATATACGACGACGCGAACAATTCCATGTGGGTAAATGATAAACAATGAGATGAAAGAAGCCCAAGTAGTTGCTAAGCATCAAATAAAAGCGTAAAACAAATAACTATAAGTATTGCTAAAAAATGCAATTTATTTATTCTTTGATACCAGATTGGTAATATATTATTGAAACACTAATGTTCACTTAACAATAGTGCAAATGTTTGGTAGTTTGCTAATTTTTTTTCCGATGTATTGTTGTTGTTAAGATTTCTAACGTACACTTAATTATATTCCGAGGAGAGTATATTAACAACAAAAACTATCAAAAAATATCTGATTATATTTTAAGGGAAAAAAAAGCCTGGCGTGGGTGTTGCTCTTTTAACTATTAAAAATTAACTGTTGTTGCACGGGCAAGCGAATTACTGTGTCGCTAGAGTTGGTTTTAACAGTGACTTAAAGCTAATCAATTTAAGGCAAAACTTTAATATACCAGTTGTGTGAATTACGAAATTAACGTTATCATTACATGCGCATTGTTGACCGAATGTTTTTATAACTAAGGCGTCAGCTAATTTCAAGGACGGCTACGTACATATTATTAAAAATGTCATGCGTTTCACTTTTTTAATAGTAATTTTAACTTAATTTTATCCAAAAAGGCTTTATTCAATACACTCACTGGCAAGAAATCAGACGCTTTATTTATTTAAGCTTACGGTAGAGTGAGAAAAATTTTTTAATAGCTTTTTGGGTCCTCACATACTATTGATTAAGATCTTATAGATTTGTCTGGTCACTTTTTTTTGCAGGCTTTTAATTTTGTTTTTGACAAGCTTTGTATATATTTAAACAACTTAATTTGCCTCCTATAAGTACTGTAACAAAGAGCCTATTCTGTCCCACAGAAACACCCCATACCATCATATTTTTTTACCTTATTGTTGGTATAAAATTAATACTTGTCTGGATTTTGTTCTAAATCCCGATTAGGAAAGGCAAACTCTGTTTTAGATTTTCCCAGTTGGTAATTAGAAACTGTTGTTATTTTACATGGTAAGTCATTAATAAGAGATTACAGAAAATGTTACATGAGCATTACATTACAAATTTGCTTATGATTTGTGTTCATTAACCGGGTAATACACTATTAACAAAGTGATGTACATAAATTACATGAAAACTTGTAGATTTTTAAAATAACAATAAACGTTCGCTGGCAAAGAATAAAAAAACTTACTTTTAAGCCCATCGGTTATATTCAGGACCTAAAAGCGAGCGGGGATGTCTAGTCTAAATAATGCCACAGTGATTTTGACTTTTGCATTTGTCGGGAAATACACGTAGAAATATCTTTTTTTTTTCTTTTCGCTTTCACTAATTTGTTTTTGGGTTTGAGATATCGTCGTTTCGAAGTAAAATATGTTCAATTGTTATCTACTGCGATAGATTAGCAAACTTGACATAAATTTGAATTGTGTGTCATAATTTCATAATATAATAATAACGCGTGCTAGTAAATATAATACACCATAGCTTATATAGTAGAATACGCTCATTTACATTAATAATATATGGCATATGAGTTATTAGAACAACGATTATGCCAATAATTAATCACTTTTACACCGGTTGAAAATGTTTCGATTTTTAAGTTACGTTCCATAATATCTAACTCTTCTTCACGATATAAACAAACCCAATAAAAAGACACTTTTTCCTAAAATAAAATTCAAGTTAGAAACAATTAAATTATTTTACACCCGGTCAATGAATAAGTAACTATATTATTACTTACATCACTAACAATCTACCGTGTGTGGTTAATGTTTTGTCCGAAGATGACGTTATTATGGAATTTGCTATCAGTGATGATGTAAGTGTAATCGTTTACTATTTATCGACCTAGCTTTAGTGCAATGTACTAATTATTCTAACTTTGACTCTATTTCATATTAAGTCATCAGTATTGCTTTGTTGGGTTTGTCTATATGTGGAAAAAAAGTTAAATAGTATGAAAGACAATTTGAAATTTGAAACATTTCCAACTGGTGTAAAAATGATTGATCATGAGCAATACCTTTATCCTAGTGACAGAGACATGTATTCTATATATTAACGCACATATTGTAGCTGAGGGTGCTTATTATACTTTCTATTATCTTGTACTTTATTTCTTGCACTGTATTTCTCGCACTGTATTTCTCGCACTGTATTTCTTGTACTGTATTTCTTGTACTGTATTTCTTGCACTGTATTTATTGTACTGTATTTTATCCTTATTATTATTATTACGCATACTTGTCATTATTATTAATCATGTTTTTTCGTCAAACACAGTTCAAGTCAGTACGGGGAACAAGTTTGAATTACAATCACTGCTACTGTATTTATTGCGTTACTGCTACATAATATTATGCAATAGTTAACGTATCGTATTTGGGTAATAGTGAATAATCACACACGTACTTAACGAATAGAGAATAATTTTATTGCTGTGCGATGGCTATGTAATATTTGTGTACTAGTACCTTGTAGTTGGAATACAACTGCAGCATTTAGACCAGCAGCATGGTCAATGTCAAACATATATATTTTTGTTTGGTTACAAGTCGACTAAGTTTGGTAACTTTTATATAAATGTCACGTGAATAAGTTTACGGAATTACTCTTAATAGCCGGGAAGGCGAAATCTATTAAGGTGCATAATGTAGTGATACAGGGAACGCCGATCGTATTACATTGGGCCTTGCCGTATTAATATACCATACTAATATTAATATTAAGTTCTCGCTTGATTATCGATCATGTCTAAAGAGCGGAACAGATCTCTCACAATTCCATTGGTCAAATTTGTATGGCAGCCAATAAAACTGCAAATGCGGGATCACGTCCTGCTCCGCTTTAGTTTTTTGATAAAGCATTGTTTTCTACTTATACTTTAACTCGGGTAGTAAGAATGTAACTATTTAGGCGTCTCTACGTAAAGAAGTCGAAAAGAAAGTGCAATGACAAATATAAAAATATGTTATTTGCGATATTGATCAGTAGTTTATGATTATATGCTCAAGGTGTTTACGAAATGACTTATGCCCTTACTGTATATAGGCGAGAAATATGCAGGTATTCCAGATTTATTATATCTACTTCAATTAATTGACAGAAACTATACGTAGCTTGTAATTATAAATAATGCACCAAAAAAATAGTTAACCAATTCACTCGTTAACTTGAAGCGTCACGCCCAACGGCCAAGTGACGCCATAATCACTACTCCTACATAGATCGACAGGAAATAGTACACCTTCGTTCGTCCTGGTAATTTTCGGAATGATGTATTATTTGTTACCTCTGCGGCTAGGAGATTAGCATACGCTGCATATATCAAGATACCTAATTCGTTGCAATATGGATGAAATGAATTCCGAGTGTCTCAGAATGATCGAAAAAATAAATTACCAAAAACGATTGATCTTTTTTTTTACCTGCAGATACACTATCTAAGGTACCTTGCACCACCAGTGCAGCCCTGCTGTTGGGGTTGTACGATGATGCCAGCATAATTCCAATTATTATACCGGACGGCGTTGTAAGTATGAAAGCGAGGGACATGTACAATTTCTTCAACCTTGAAATACCCAATTCAGAAATGCGCGCACCAAGCGCAAAGCCTTACATGAGAGATAGCGTTAATGATGTATAAAATATGAAAAATTTTTTTTGCTCTCGATTGTATGATCGATACCTTCAAAGAATTGATGTAGTAACAAAGCACATAGCAATCCAGCGAATTTAACGTCTCCAGTTACCCCGAGGGTTATTCCTATGATAACCGAATGACATGCAATGCCAAACTCAAGCAGATACGTAGACAGCTTCTGTTGATTCTGCATAAATGCAAAGCCACCATGATGATGGTGGTGTTGGTGTTGGAGATTGTGCTGGTGTTGGTGTTGGGGATGTCGTTGATAGTCATGCGTTAACAAAGCAGTAGCTTCTGTTGAAGCTGTTGGCATTGTCTGATAATGATTGTGTTTTCTTATTGCTTCAGGTAAAGGCTCTATTATTTCCATTTCCGTCAAACTGTCGTTATATTCCATCGCCAAATATTCTAGCAAATGCATAAATAAACCCGCCAACATTGCAAATAGACCAGCAAATGCTGTATATTGAGAATGAAATGCTTTGGGCAAGCAGGGAGATGTAAGCATTTGAACTGCACCTGGCAGCATATGGATGAATGCAGTGGCCAGAATAACGCCAGTGCCAAAGTATTTGCCTGAAATGCAAAAGTGAACGTTATTATCCGCAACCATGCAATGACATGACTGTATAAGATGCAAATGTTAGACGTGGAAATCTGGTGGTGTGTTGGATTCTAGCTCTTACCACAGTTAATCAGGAGTGAAAGATTGCCGCCTTTCTTCTGGCCTTGGAGGATAGGAGTTAGAGTACCCAGCGTAGAAGCTGTCAACACCAAAAACACCGACAGTACATGGACACTTTGATCATAGCTTTCTCTAACATAATCATCGCACCATGTATCTTGCAATCAAAATATGTCGCAAGACTAATATCAGCTTTGTCATATTCACTTGAAAAGTACGGAGTATCACAATTGACGAACCGTAACACGACTCTACTTACAACTAGACTCCTCTATAAGGGACATTTCGGTGAGTCGTATCGAGGATTTAACAGATACATCTGCTATCGAAGCTTGTATGAAAATTAAAAAAGTCATAAACAATGTTATAATGTTTCTCATCGTTATGATATCCCGTTATTCCAGGAGATGTTGGGATTGCGACAAAGTTCGGGAATAGCGAACTTTAATCGATGACATTATGCAGGGATAAATATAGCAATGATTTCCATAACCATGAAGGTCACTCTATGTGTAATCATTTACCCTTATTATTATATATTTGGAACCTTCCAAATAAGACAAGGTATGTGTCTGAGGAGGTACTCATTTGCTAAGCCTTCACACGCACTTGTCGGTAACCCTTAATTGTCGCCATGAGAAAGAATGTAAACGTTATCGGAGCCGGTGTCTCCGGCCTTACCACCGCTCTTGAACTCCAGAATGACAGATTTCAAGTGACAGTAATTGCCGACCGTTTCCCTGGAGACCTCTCCATAGATTATTGTAGTCCCAATGCGGGTGCCCAATGGCGTGGGGACGGGCGTTACGCTCCCGGTTCTCTCGATGCTAGTAAGAATCTTGATTAGCTATTGTTTTTAATTTACCCGATATGAAGCTATAAGAATGCAGGTATATGTTTGAACACTTGATCCACCCATTTTTTTTTAATAGAAATACACGGATACACTTTCAAGAAGTTGTACAACTTGGCCGAGACTGTGCCTGCTAGTAGTGTTACATGCATGAATCTTGAGGAATATGTCGATGACACTGAAGCATCAAGCCACAAAGACCCTTGGTTCAAGGATTTGGTTCCCAATGTAGTTTTCTAAGAAACATGTGATTGATCTGGTCCATTGGACTAAATAGGCAAGCATTTGGTTAATATCGATATGATTGACCAGTTTCAGGTAATACCTCAAGCTCAATTACCAGCCGGTGCTAAAAGTGGTATATCTTATACAACAGGTGTGCAACAATAATTGATAACGACAGTGATTACATTGCATCACCCATCATCATGCATTCTCTTTCTTATACATGCGTATCACTTTTCTAGTGGCGATTGACGTTCCAAAGTATTTGAAATGGCTGTTGCAGCAGTTTATTGCTGCCGGAGGGAAGACGCAGAGATGCCATCTCGCACACGTCAAAGGAGCATTTGGCGAGAATGTTGACGTCGTAGTCAATTGTACTGGAATTAGAGCACGTACTTTGGGGGGCATTGAAGATCAAACTGTGTATCCAACGAGGGGACAGACTATACTGGTGTGGGCGCCACACGTGAAATCCATGAAGACACTAACTAGTAAGAATTCATTTTGCTATCGATGTCTATATACGATACGAAAACTTGCTGTCCTGTGCGAATGTCAAAAGATGCTATACCATTTGGTTACAGTAGACTTTGTGGTATAAGTTATATTGACGAAGATGTTGTGAAGACTGACATGCGTCCATTAAGACAAGCCATGATGCTGGTTGAAATCTATCTGCTATATAGGCGAAACGACTTCCTAACTCCTAATGTACGCATGTCAGTCTAGTACATTGATGTGTTCTACGTCCAATTGTTTCTCGTATCTGTATACCGGACTTTTATCTCATACCTGATGCAAAATGATGGCCCATTGTTTTCGTCATTTGATTTGAGCACTACAATGGTTTACTGTGAATATTCATTTTAAGCGATTGACTCGGTTACTTACATTATCCCGAGGGCGTCGTCCGGGAACGTCATCCTGGGCGGCACCATGGATGATAACCGCTTGTAAGTATTTAGGATGCCGATTAATGTAGTTGTCGAGAAACTAATACAATGGTATTGTCAACAACAGCGACTTGTTCCCGGATAAGGAGATAGCAGAGGGCATAATACGCCGGTGCACCGCACTTTACCCGGCTCTGACCGCCGGAAAGGAGCTGGAAATTATTTCGCATAACGTTGGGTTGCGTCCTTCGCGTGTCAAAGGACTGCGGTTAGAAACTGAGATTGCGAGTATGTTACGATACTACGTGATAGAGCATCGTGACAATTTTAGATACTGTTTAGTAATGCGCTTTCGTCATTTTAGAAAATGCAGCCGGTAAAGAGATTATTATATGCCATAATTATGGTCATCATTCATATGGTAAGTTTAGCTTATCAAGTATTGATTTATTCTGCACAATTAATTACGAACACTTTACGTGATCGTTTAGGATATCAAGCCAGTTGGGGGGCAAGCAATGAAGCCCTCCAGCTTATCAAAAAGGCTCTATCAAGCCAGGGGAAAGATGTTGAGTCAAAGCTGTGAAGAATTCTTAATACTATTGCCAAATTTTTGGTTGAAATCAAGACATTCTATCTAATAAATACCACGCCGTAGTTGCATGGTATCAATCCAGAACTCTATAAAATGAGGTCCTCAAATACCTGAAAGATCCGGATAGAGACAGTGCAAGCTTATTTATCGGTTGATTTTTTGTTTATTAATTAAACAGTCGATGATTAAAAATTAGAGGCCCTCGTTCAAATACGAACTAATCTATTTATGCGTACCTGTCTTAACAGACCTCGTGTAGGAGGAGATCGATGTGTGTAATCAGGAAAAATGTATTCCAAGCCTTTCTTGGTATGCAACAGAGAGCATGACTACACGTAGATTGCAATGGATGGCGCGATTTATACGATTTAAGTTACTTATTGCCGAGACATAGACTTGATGACTGCCAATGCTTTTACATAATTACACAAAACCATAATTTCGCCGGTGTTGGCGTATGACTTTATTATTCCCATAATAATAAAGGCGCAAATATCCATAATAATAGTTACTATTAACGATAGATATTAGCAGTAGACACGGTTATAACAATAATTACTATATTATCTCTACCATCTACTATTTCGTCATCTACATGATTTACATTTTCCTTTTCTTTGTCGATCCAATGTTTGATTGCTTCAATTGTCTTTTTCCGCGGGGTTGTTCTTCGAAGATAAAATTCGCTTACTGTAGATGCAGCAATTGCCTTCTGTTTGTCGAGCAACTTATGAACTTCAAACACCATTTTGTTAAATGATCCAATTTAATGTTTTTATTGTATAATCGTTTCAGATCGTCCACAACTTTTCGATTTCTGGCGAGTAAATTCTGTTTGCAGCTGAGAGTTTTTTATAGATTTCAACTTCGTCGATTGAATTAGGGCTCCCGTATTATTAAGCCGACCATTACAGATTATGCCATTTAGCAATCGGCTGAGAACGAAGCCAATAAATACTCCAAAAAAGAATTCGCTTGTGAATGTAAGCATTTTTCGTAGCGTTATTGCAGATTCGTTTTATTACTTTAAACAATGTATTGTTTCAACGATATTTATTGCGTTGTGGTTGATTTCTGAGGTAAGTTAACCAGTGCTGTTAAATATCCCGTTTGCTCATCATACTGCAGACGATTATTAGACAAAAGCGAATTTCTGCGCATTGATTTTCATATTCTGCATACAGGGAAATAGTTACATTGTAGAAGTTTCTAATGCAGTAACAACCTCCATAAATGCAATCCCTCAACGTTTCAAGCTTGGGACTTAGTGAGAGTAGATTTATTTTTCCAAGCGTAAATCACGTAATTTACGCAATGTTTTAACTCACATGATGCCACAAAGATTGACTCACCCAATTGAATGGTTTTTAGGTACTAATTTAGAAATGTTTTCATGACTGAAATTGATGTTTGAAGGTATATAAGCAACCTTTATCCCATCGTCTAGCTCTTATGTTGTTTGTTCGATGTTAAGTGTCTAATATTGTTGTTATATTTATATTCCACGGAATTGTTCTTATCCACGGACAAATTCGAAATTCCCTTTAACTCGTTGATCGTCAAATTTATTGTAATTAGTAAAGCAACGGACAATACTTATTGCCTACAGTATTTGGAGACTGTTGTGGTGACAAGATTGAGTAGCGGGTGAAGAACTAGTGAAAGTTTGTCCGTTCAATTAGTAAGGGGAGTGCTTGAAAGTGTACAGTAATTGGCGAACGACATTTATTTTCATAATTAGTTTAATTAGTTTTAAATAAAAGTGACGCACATTGACTTGTCAAAATACCAAATCGAAGTATCGCCCTCCCTGTTATTAAAGGATATTTCCCCTTCGATTCTATAGAATAGTATAGTTGTTAATACTATTCGTAAATTCCTTACTTGGATACTAACGTTGGATTACGTTACGTATAGGAATTAGGAAGCGCGCATAATTAATTACTTAGAAACGTCACTATAACTTAGCATTCAGTTTTAGTTGATGCTGTCGCTGTAGCAAGGGCAGCGATAGCTAAGCTAATTGAGTCAGATCTCCCTGTCGGCCGAACCGCCTACAGTTTGCTCTCCTATAAATTTCCCTAATTAAATACGCCGACCGCAACACTCTTTACTCTTGTTATAAATGCTCATCTACTAATTTCCTGCTAATTTCATATTTTGTTGTAACAATTTCTTCTAATTTAGCCTTAATTAAATATTCTCTGCTTCCTTCTGAGCATTATACAATGGTAAAAATTGACTTAAACAGATAATTTTTTAGTTCTTCGAGAGTTGCTTTCTCAATGTTTACAATCCACTTGAAGCTCTTCGTCTGTTTGGGCTGACAATAACATCAAAATTCTATATAATAATAATAATAATAAAGCAACAGACTTTAGTAACGTTTTTCTTGTTCAGACAGATTCTGATCGTGATATTTTGTTATAAACTAAAACTTATACGTACCGCATATAGAAGTCGACACAGGTCGCTCGCTTGTTTGCAGTTATTCCACTTGTATCTGACGGCTTTTTCTTCTCGTTTCTAATCTTTTCCTTTCCTCAACAAGCTCCGTTTTTCTCCCTCTTCAACTCCTTCTCAGCCTTGTCTGCATATTCCTCCTTCCACAGCTTCTCCTCCAAAGTCGTCAGTCGCTGTTTACAACTCTCATCGAACCCTTTCAACGCAGTGTTCGCTTGTTCCAACCTAACTTTCATTTTTTCTGCGATCAAATTGACTGTGTTCTTAGCCGTTGATTATAGTCATAGAATAAAAAATGTAGCGTAATGTGGTGGCTTAATTAATGATCTTTACACAAATTCCTGCTCCAGTGTATCAGCGTCGATATATAATACAGAACCATCGAAATGTTGTGCAATAAAAATACTTTTTTATGATGACTTGAACAGTGTTTGCGAAAGGCATAGTTCTTAAATTTAATAATGTCACCCACACGTGATAGTAAGCACAACAACCTACAATACAATATACTATAACAGATTTACGAGCAACAATGTTTGCTTAATATTAACATAATGCATATCCTTTATTAGGGTGACAATATTTTTTGTTATCAATCATTTTTACATCAGTCGAAAAGGTTTCAATTTTTGAGTTATGTTCCATAGTATCTAACCTTTCTTCTGAATATAGACAAACCCAATGAAGACGTATTCCACTCTAAAGTAAAAATTAAAGTTAGAAACATTTCACATAATAATAAATGATTAATAATAACCATACCTCATTGGCAACAGCGTTTATATATATAATGATGTTATCTTCAGACAAAACATTTACCGCGCATGGTAAAATGTATTCGGCATAACTACCATAGTTAAGATCCATATTATATTGCATCTCTTCAGTTGATGTTTTAATCTACAATAAAAAAGCTTCTATTAATAAATACAATAACGACCGTAATCAACGATATTTATACTAATACTTACTACAATTGTAATAGTAGTTGACCCCAAATAATAATTTTCCAACAAAATGCCAAGTTTGTATTCATTTGGAGGTACTTTAAATATTGGTATTGTTACCTAATATATAATTGTTTATTAGTTAATATTCAAACGTTGATAATAATAATGATTATACACTTACTTTGTTAGGTCCATAAAGATGCAAATATCCATAATCATAGTTACTATTAAATGATAACCGTTAGTATTAGTATTAGTAACAGTACGTTTATAACAAATAATCACTGTAAATTACTTGCCATGAGTATTTAATGATATCATCAACATGACTTTCATATGCAAAATGTGCTTTCAAATGACCTAATAATAATAATAATTAGTATTAGTATGCATAATAATATTAAATATAATTATGTAGTCATCGCAAACCCCTTACTTTTGTGCATGTAATAAACTTTTTCAAAAAACGCGTTCATATGCGTGTAATTACGCCAAGTATTATTATATGCGTTATACCAAGATGCAGCAGCATTGTACCATCTAATGTAATCATTTGTTCCATACTGATGGTTACACAGTGACTGCCATCGATCGACATCATCTAGCTCACCCATTGCTTTGTGAGGACAACTATCCGCAAGAATTTCAAACCATTCCACATCAAAGTGCTCAAGTTCATTTACATAGTCCTTAATAACATTAAATGCTTTTTTTTGCATATCTAAATGTTTAATGTGCTCAATATCTTGTTCAGCATTTTTCTTATTCCCCAATCTTACATGTGCCAGTAAACTCAAATACCAAGCATCATTATAAAACTTGTTTACTTCAATTGCTGTCTCAATATCAAACAGGGCTTTTTCAAAATTCTTCATTTCTATCTTCATAATCGCTCTGTTACACAATGCCATATAATTTGTGGGATCAGCTTGTAATATTTGTGCATAGATGTTCAAAGCCTCATCCAGTTCCTTATTTTTATATGCAGTTTTAGCTTTCTGAAGTAATTTGCTTATGTTTGGTGTTGTTAATGACTTCCAAATTGAACTCCATGTAGACCCAGAAACATACTTTTTCATTTTGTTCTTTCTTTTTCGTTTCTTAAGGTCATCACACTCATCAAATATTTTTATTCTTGCATTTGTGTTATTTCCAGCATTATAGTTAGCATTATAAGTGTCTATGTCTGTAACAGTAATATGTGTATAATGTTGAACATTGTTGTATATTATTTGTTGTGGCATGTAATACACTTTATCCTTTCTAATTTCACTTCTGCAATAAGGACACTCCAGGTTGGTTAATGATAAAAGGGCCTTTGAACTAATAATATGTTGACAATTAAGTTGATAAAAGTCACCAACTGCTTCACAGACAATAGTACATGTCAGATCTTCTGTAATATAATCAATTGGATTTCTCTCAACACTTTTTCCTTTTCCTTTGCACTGCTGTCTCCTATTATTATTACTATTATTTTGAGCATTTATCATTATGTTGTCTGGTGAGTACTTTAAAATCATTTTTGATTCAACCTTTAATTTCTCCCTAAGGTAGTAGTAAATGCTGACCAATTTTGGTATATACTTCTCATCACAACTTGCAATATCATCAGATGTTGTAACAAAGAATTCATTATTTTTGACTTCAAGACTCAATAACACTTCAATGGATTTAAATTGAATAGATTCTGTGGTTGCATTATTCAATGAGTCTAATGCTATGTAATAACAAATAGCTTGTGTAGTTGTAGAAAATGTTTTCTGGATGAGTTGCTGGATAATATCTAAGATGCCAAACCAGAGCTCATCACTAACATCTTGATTCTCTGCTGCATCTTCAGCATAGCATAAACTGATATGATACCAGAGATACTCAAGAAGCACTCTTTCTTTGAAACTTATTGAAATGTTAGAATCTTTTTGTTTATACCATTCATCAAGACTGTGTTGTAATATAAGAAGTTGTCTCCAAGTCGTATACCAAGGCTTGCCTGAGGGTTCAACATGAAAGGCTTCTTTAAAATACTTCCAGGATCTACCTATGTCAAAATCACCAAGAGGAATGTCAACTCCAGTAATTAATTTAATTCCAAATTTAGCTAATGCAGGAACAGCAACAAGTAAACCCTTTAATGCAGTAATGGCTCGATCAATATTTGTCTGATACTGGTTTCTATCACTATGAACAGTGTTTAATGTATTCTTAATGAGTTGGACCAGATATATATTATTATAATTGCATCTAAAGTTTTTCATAGTTTTGTCTGCCTTAATAAATTCTGAATGATCGGGTTTCCAAGTTTCTCCTTTATGCTGCATAATTCGTGAATGCGCTTTCTTGTACATAGAAGTGACTTGTCTAATACCATCAAGAAACTGACATGTAAATTCACACTCATTATGACACATCAGCTCCAGTATAGTTACAATAATTCGTAATTGCCATTCCAACTTAATAGTTGTTTCTCCTGAGAACACTTCGTCAACCTCTTGAGAACGTAGACTCTTCGCAGCTGTTGTTAACACTCCTACGGACACAGAATCTCCCTTATGTTCGAGAATGTATTTGAGTGCGTAAACAGTCTCTGGGTATTGCAAGTCCGTTAATAATCCCTTTACTTGCGCATCTGGTGACATAAGTCCCTGTTCCATTAATTGAAGTATGAGTTTAGGAAAACTGCCTTGATTTACAGTGTCGCTCGGTGCTGACGTCAAAGATGTCATAGGTGGCGTGCTGGGAGTGCTCTCCGTGGGAAAGGTGACTGATACATAGTTGGTTGTTGAGCTAGAACTCATCGAGTCGGCCCCCGCAAAGACAAATGAAATTGAGCTTTCAGTTTCCTAGAAGGAAGGTAACATGCAATGATCAGTAAACAAGCAAATGGATTATTTTTGCATATGTTTTGGCGTTCCTATACCTCATACGCCATTGATAGAGTAGTCACTTTGATCATTCACTCATGCGATCGACATATTAATATGGGAACAGATATTTACTGTTTGTGTGACACGTGTGCGGCCTGGACTACAAGGAATACATTGTGCGTAACCCATTTGTCATTGATTACTAAGGCTGTTTTTATTACTATTGCTAAGAGCCTACAGGTTAAGGTATAAGTGTATCAGCAAGTACTCACTCTCCAGTGACGACGACTACCAGGAAATATAAATAAAATGTGTAATTTATTAGAAGGAATCGACATGAAGATGCGAAGATCTATTATCGTTAGCATAACTCTACATCCCAATTTTATTTCCGCATCAACCCCAATGCTTATTCACTCTGTGGACACTCGAGCCTAAATTATGAAAACAACATGGCGTCAATTATACATGCAACCAACGAAAATTAAAAAGCCAAGCTTTTCTCTCCACTTACCGTAGCTGTCAAGTCGTTGGGATCGTCCGGATTGCCACCCAATTCAACACGCAATCCATCAAATGGATACGTCCTAAGAGTCTGCATATAATAACAAAAACTCATAAACAAAATATAATTCTCCCTTCTCAAATCATTCCCGAAATCGAGAGATAAATACCATTGGCCTCTCAGGCAATGTCAAGTAGACAATTAAGCCGATAGATGCTACAACTCCCGCAGAGATTAACAAGTCTTTTACTGCTTTCCGTGGTGTTGTCTCTGTGTAAATGTCTGTAGAAAACAGACTCATGACCTCTTCTTCTTCATGTAACTGCACAGTGTAATGTCAATGTTTACACATCGCGTTCGACAAAGCACACGCCTCATACTGTCTTGCTCTCGTCTCTCACCTCTTCGTCGAAATTCAACCTCTCCTGCTCATCCCACCATCCAGTTGCCGGCCTCAAACCTCTTGGCTCCCAAGGCTTATTCGGATAATCCCCGATCATAGGATCGCTCACACGAGGTTTACCAAACTCCACATAGTTAGCCCTCTGTTGTCCCAGAGGAGACAGAAGCGAGAGTCGTAAGGCAGGTTGAGTTGATAGTATGTGAGCACGACGAAGACTACGGCCGAGCGTAGTTAAACGCAGATGCGACATTCCGAGTCGTCCAGATTTTAGAAAGTTATTTACTATTACGTGAAGATCGTTATTTTTCCTTATCAGATTTTATACATTGAATATTTTATTGCAGATCTGTAGATTGTCTACGTAATAGCTCTGAACCAAAAATTTAATGCTCTAAACTTATCTATACTAATAATGACCGTATTTGCAAAAGTTTTCCGTTCTCTCTGCCTCGCAGTCACCGGGATAACAATCTATTTATACTATTATACGGCCTTATGTAACTGGAAATGGAAAGGTAGATATATTAAGGAATATCACATTTCGATCAATATTTTTTTTAGGAAATTTAATTCTCGTCTCAACTTACTAGCTCCTTCGACGAGAATACTCTTCCTGGCCGACCCACAACTAGAGGGTGATGCAAAACTCGCAAGGCAGGGCAAAATAGGTAAGACGGTAACAGGTCCTTTCTCCATTGGCGGTACCGTCGGAACTCTCTTACGACCTTATACTCCTTCGAATAATTCTTAGGCGAACTTGACTTGGCTTTCAATGACTATTATTTTCGTCATGTCTATACTTCGTTCGTATCGCCATTTTCGCTTTTCGGTCCTCCCCCGACGCATGTTGTGCTGTTGGGCGATCTGTTTTCTAGTCAATGGATCGATGACGTGGAATTTGAGAAGAGGGTTGAGAGATTCAAGTGGATTTTCGGTGATAATGTGAGCACACGATGATAAAAATTGCAAAGCGATATTAGACAACAACTGAAAGAAGAAAAAAAAAAGCAAATCAACGTCGAGTATGTTTTATAACCAGTATTAACGAATTTTCCGATTTTGTTTTTCGATCATAATGACAATAGAACTACAATCATCATTTAGTGAATTTATCGGGCAATCATGATATTGGATACGGAAGAGATATGACTCGTTACAGAATTGATAGATGGGAACGCGTATTCGGCAAAACGAACTTTTTATTTCGCATTCAAACGCCAATCGATAATTCTCTGAACAACCACCAGCACCAGCACCAGCACCATACAGCCTCGCCGCCGGAACACATATTTGCTGTTATCAATTCACAGAACGTTGATGGACCAGCTTGGGACGAGGTACGCACATATGTTACGGGAGGATTGTGGTAACAGCATAATAATATGAGCCTGCGGTATAAAGAATATTATCAACCATGTCAAAATGCTGCTGCTGACGAGAGCGAGTTATGTTATGAGTTAGGCGCTGCGATCAGAAACATGGGCTTTTCTGAATGAGCTTGCAGCTGAGAGAGAGAGAGATAATTACAAGACGCCTTTGGTTTTGTTGACTCATATACCATTGCACAAAGAAGCTGGCCTGTGTGTCGATGAGCCACTCGTGCTTTATGATGAGTAAGTCGAAGTAGGGTCGCGCGCGCGCGAAAGGGAATTGGCCATTGAACGTTTGGTTGTCGTAATTATTTTCTAACATTTATATTTTTTTTTCTCTAGATTTAATCATATAATAGAACAAAACCATTTCACTTCTAATGCGACCGATTTCATCCTCACCAAGTTGCGTCCGCGGTTTATTTTTGCTGGACATGACCATCGAGGATGTGATGTGACATACGACGTTACGTGGAGTAAAGAGGAAGACAAGGGTGAACCCACTGTGAAGGCCTATCGGACAAGAGATTATAGAAAGAGTGAACGAGATGACGATCAAGGTGACAGTCTAAGTGCGCGCGAAGTGACTTTGCGATCTGTTATGGCCGAATTCGGTGGGAACGCTGGGCTGTTTGAGATTAGATATCGCAACGGAGGTAGGAGAGTAAAAAAAGAATTTACTTTATTCTTGAATCCGTGTCAGCGCTCATTAAACCCTTTTTTTTTTCCTCCACAGCCTTCCAATATGCTTATCAGAATTGCCCATTTGTAACCAATCATATCCCATGGATAATAATGATACTTGACGCTATTTTGATACTTGTCTGGATTTTTACAAGGGTCTTTCTGTCAGCTTGGAACAAAATGCTTGTAGAAGGTGTGCCAGCACAACAGCCACTTGTAAAAGATTAAATTAAAATTTCATATTAGCTTGGAATTCAACGTGCATCATGTGTATAATGTATAATGTGAATGCATGAAATATGAAACTTTTAGAGTTTAATATTATGTGACGCTCTTTGCAATAAACATCATCAATACAAAGTAAATGCTGAATGCAAAGTTTCTCCGAATAATGTTCTCGGTATAATTACTTGTTTTGCTTGGCCGAGACGTTCAAACCTTCAATTCGCAAGATTTAGATCCCGAATTTAAACCACATAATTTTCGTTTTCATGTTCTACAAATTATAGAATCGCGGTTCTAATTCGCCAATGTTTCAAAAGTCGACATGTCAAAATTAAATGTAACATAAGATCTTATTACTGTATGCTCCACGGATCACGATCGGTTTTGGCGCATCGCACAAACCATGTGTGACAAAGTTAATGAAATGCGCCCTGACTATCAACAGTCAGTGTGAATAATAATGATGATCAATCCCGTATTAATGAAATACATTGTTACAATAATTCAAGGAACTCATCAATTAGGAACGACCGAGGGCAAAGCACAAGGAATTCGTGCGAGTCTGATCTTCAACTAATAAAAGTTGTTATTAGTTTACTAAAATAGCATTACTGTTCTAATAATAGTACTAATTTTGTGTGTCATTGCTTTTGTCGGACAATACATAATTCCTGGGAAATTGTTTATACCGACAATCAAAATTGATCGGTGCAGCTTTTATCATTGCATGTTTGTTGTATTAAATAAACTGATATTATTTATTAAAATTCGGAACACAAAAAGTTCATAGACAACGTATGTGTTGAATGATTAGCGAAATTGTCGGTATTAATCTAGTATCAATATTACAAAATTCGTAGTCTCTACGAGAAGAAATGTATATCTTAAATTCAGTACACAAATCCCGTTTTTCATCAGTACTTGCCAGGAATAACTACTCTACATCCCTTAGTACTCATTCCAGTGTTGCATTTCTTGGGGTCGGTGCAGCAACGTATACAGTACAATTGTGCGTCGGGCTCAATTAACTGTACAAATTTCTTGGCTCCAGCACAGGATGCACCACGAGGCGCCTTTGGATCATACTGACCACCACCGTCGTCTGGACTCAAACCGTACTTGGATCTGTCAATTCTGCCCGTTATTTGAACGTATCCCGGTCCAGTAGCGTAGTTCACCGTCTTGATAAATCCTTTCGGGAGAGTATTGGCATTGGGTGCGTTGGGAGTTGCCTTTGTGCAAAATGAAACTGCACTATTTTCGCTGGCGGCAATGTTGCCACCGCGTTGTTGTGGAAGAAGTAGACAAAAGACCGATTTGCTATCTATCGTAACGGTCGTTCCCAGACGGATGGGTGCGGCAAGAGCCAATGCAACTATTGCAAGGAGGAGAGCGAGGACTGTAAGCTTCTTGTTGGCCATTTTTTTTCTCGAAAGTAATCGATTGTTGTTGTTTTTTTTTTTTTTTTGAATAACTTTAATATCGAAGCTTCTCTCCTAGTATGATACCCGGGAATGTGCACTTGAAGTTCACCCGCTATTAGCAAAGGTGAAGTTTTACGTCGAGCGCATTACCAGAGTATATATAGGCGATGAGTCAAGTGACTTTCTATGGGAATTACAAATTATATTTTTGGAATAATTTATATTTAGAACAGTGGGCGTGACCAGTTAAGGCATCGTTTGATTTTTCAGTGAACAACCACCTAATTCAGCAGTTGCAAAGCATTTTTAATTTGATCGCTAATTGTCCCGCTATGCAAATACGGCATTAGTATACCCTAATTTATGCTGTGATTTTGTGTGGGGGTTATCGTTATGCAACATTATATTTGAGATTGCTATTATTTGGTAAAGATCATCAAGTCTAAATTGTATTGTGCAGACAGTATAACGTCAAGTGACCTAAAAAGAAATTGTTGGCCAGATTTAGAATTATGATCAAGCAGTCATAATTAATGTACTAGAATTGGACGTTGCATTGATATTAATATTAACATTCTTACTTATTTGTCCAACTTTTCCCCCCTATTACGCAACGCAGTTTTTGATGATTCTATTTTTAGCATGGACATTATTCATCACATTAATGTTTACTGAATTCACGCTCAGTTACTACAATAGTAAATGCTCGTCTTAGTCTACTTTAGTAAATTAAATTATATAATACAGGCTATACCAAAGTGGGACAATTTCAGAAGACCACAAAAAAAACTATAATTGAAAAAGGAGAAGTTGCTATAAGGGGAAAACTAGTTCCTTTCTGTAGAACGCTTCGGCGTTTGTTGAATGAAAGCCTGTTTCTAATTAGTTTGAACAATATGCACTATTTGACTTGCAAAGCAACAGAATATCTATATTTAGCGTCGAAGAACCCGCCGCAAATTTCTTGCGTTTGTTTTATTTGTGAAAAAATATTATTGATGTGTATTTCCTTACACTATTACCATACTTATAAGCCGAAACACATTTTAGCGAGCATTGAACCCTTAATATTAATATCATATTAGATTTAATCGACAGAAAAACGCTACAGATAATACTAATGTTAATGGCAAGTGTATTTGGTTCAGCTATCGTAATAATTAAAGTTAGATGATGAAAAAGAAACCATGTTGAAATTAATTGATTGGACTTGGCCATTTATTTTTTCTCACCACAAAAAGTAGTGCGATTGTAGAGAAATTAAGCATATCCCATCATCCACCCTTCTTTTGTTAAAATTTCAGGGTTTTTTATTTCAACATTTGGTCCGACTTGCCTTACTTATAAAAAAGCAATTACAGTTGCGTAAAATTCAAGTTTTTTATATTGTTTCGAGTTTTCTTACCAAACTTATTTGATTTTTTTTTTTATTTCTCTCTTTTCGATAATTGTTTCTATATTGCAACTCTTTCCCTTACCTTCAATCTTCAGTCGTGTGTATTTACCCCTTTTAAATTTCATTCAGCGATTTAAATTTATTATGCAATATGTCGATCGTTTTGAATACCGCCTTTGTCTTGTATAAAAACCTCCGATCAATATTAGATTTTTTCGGAATGCCTTTACCTCCATATTTGACAAGTTTGATTATAAATAGATCTGACAAAATCGGCATAACGTCTGTTGTCACACGATGACGATACTTATGCTTATTCTAAATTAGATCGGAAATATTGTTAGAACAGGATTAACTTGAATCCTTCTTGCATGAAAGTCACATGTAAGAAAAATTGCATAATCCCAAACCACTCTTTCAAAACTAACAAAATTGAGGCTTTAATTGGAATGTTTCAATGCTAATATAGTACATCCGAGAGAACAGTACTTTATAAATATGCTTCTAGGCGTTTTACTGTCGAATTACTAGTTGTTCCTTGTCGGTTTGGCAATATTTTACTAAGCAAACAATTGAACTAGTATTATTTAATTGTGACTAACACGGAACAGAATATAGAACTTTTACATGTTATTGAATACAACAATTTTTCGTTGTCGAATTTGCATGCATATTGTTGCTGTAGTTATGCCCTGTATAAGCGCATCATATTTAATTCATACACATACGTATGCAGAGGATATAGTAGGACACTTCCTAAAGTCACATCATTTTCACAATAACCAACAAGTTTAACACTTAAGACTACTGTAAGCTACTGTAAAGCTAAGATTTATTTATTATCGCATTCGTCTAGTGTAATTAATTGAACAGCTTATAGTTTGTTGTGCAGTTCTACTTCGGAGATAAAAATTTCTCGGACGTTTTAAATCATAACGTACTTTTTCATTATTTTTTTTTGCCATTGAACGTACTATAAATTATCGAATATAGCGTTACAAAGGCATCATCGAGACCTTTATTACGCCAACAATTATTAAGATCCGTGGAGTGTTTATTATTAACTTATCTCGAGTAAGTTTTCCCTTTCCCCCCTAGTATTCGACTAAAGCGGCTAAACCTCAAGGTCATACCAATTTGCACTCCCCTTGTCTATTAAGTTACTTTCTGTAGCATCTAACTTCTCTTCTGGGGTATAAACAAACCCCAATAAAAACGTACGTATCGCTAAATCGAATTATAGTTGAACACTAAGTCAGTGAACAAAAAACCATACTTACCGCCGCCAATAACAAATTCCATAATAATGACCGTGCAAGGTAAATGTCTTCAGCAAGATAAACTACTAGATTTTCTATTGCTGTATTGCGATATAATGTGTACATACATATAGTTTATTGCGACAAATATAAAAGAAAGAGAGCTCGATTGTGAACAATTATTGGTCATTTAAATACCGTATTTGACCCGTCGATTTATATCGGGTACGTAAGGGGGGGGGAAGACGTTTATTTCCAGAAATTTCATAATAATTATCGAATACTATTTCATTCCTTCAAAGTACTCTTCATCAACGTACACGCAACATTGCGGATGATTCTGCCAGCTCTGGAAAGACTTCTGGGGTAGTTTCAGCAACTGCCCGAACAGCCCTCGCTAAACTTTTGACCTTATCCCACCAGTTGTTCTTCATTTCGAATAAAGAAAATACATGGAGTACCCTCTTGACCGTATGGCAAATAGGAAGAAACTTTTACTCGTTTGTTTTGAAGATACTCCGTCCTGATCGTTACTTTATGTGGCGCATCATTGTTGTAGTGAAGCATAATATCACGAACAGTTGTTCTTCCCTTTCTTCTGGAGACTCAGCTTATTATGCAAATGTAGGAGATTGTTTCAGAAGAAATACTGGTTTCGTTGGCTAAACTCTTAATAGAAATGTGCGGGTTATTGCGAACAAGATCCTCGACCTTGGCAATTTCTTCTGACGTCACTGCTTTGCGAGGACGTCCAGAACGAGCCTTTGTCTTTAATTTCTTCTTATTCGTCTTTGAATGCAACAATCCAGTGTCTAATTGTGCTGATAGATAATGTGGGTTTCCTTTCTACGTTTACCAAGTTTCGTGAATTTGAGTCGCATTTCTGCCATTTTTCTAAGAACAAAAATAAAGTATTGTTAGTTTTTACGGCTCATTCTTGTCCAGTTGTTGCTATGCTTTTACCCCCAAAAAAAGTTTTTCGGCAATGAGAAATAAATTGTTTTTGGTTTTTTTTATTTGTTACATGAAAGTATGCGCATTTATGATTATTTCAATTTTTAATTAAACTGTTGCAATCTCGAATGAGAAAGTCGCATGCAAACTTTCCAGTCCCCCACGTATACGAATTACATGGTCATAAATTGAGATGCAATCCATTGACCTACCAAGAAGTGAAGACCCGTCACATTTGCCTAATTGCATTTACTTTTTAATTTAAGCAGATTATACTATAACAAAAATTAATAGCATGAGAAAAACCCGAATTAAATTTTCGAGACAAGAAATGTTTGACTCGTGACAGAATCAGGAAATTATATCAGAATACAGGATTAATAACTTAACGTTGGAAAAATAGTAATAATTATGAAATTCAAAACAGAGCGTAGTCACTTGTATCACATTAATAGCTTTATTTCTCTAACGACAACATTACATAGTTATGTTGTTGTGATGAAAAGTTTACATACGAAACGCACGTAGTCGTTTCTTATTACATTGTTACAAAAAAAAGCACTTTTTGCTAGTGTTGGCACATTAATTACCAATTATTGTCATCAGCAAAGTTAATACATTTCTATTTCAACGTCTCAATACTATCATTTTAAATGCAAAACTCTGGACGATTATTTGTATGTAGCTGCATTCGAGCGTTCTTCATTGTGTGTAAAGTAAACGAGCCGATTGCGCGTTTCTTGGAGAGAATGTTAACTTATATATTAACTTTGTACGTTAGCTTTCTGAGAATATAAACATTTGATCAAAAAAAATTAATAATAAATAAGACCATTTTACTTTCAAGTTGCAATCAAATGCTCGTAGAAGAAAAACAAGTGAGTGTGCTGCTTAGTCTAGCTGGGCAATAAAAATACTTTTTTAGGATAACTTGAACAGTGTTTACGAAAGGCATAGTTCTTATATCGTAAGCACAACAACCTACAATACAATATACTGTAACAGATTTACGCGCAACAATGTTCGCTTAATATATTGCATATCCTCTATTAGGGTTACAATGTTTTTTGTTATCAATCATTTTTACACCAGTCGGTAGTGTTTCAATTTTCAAGTTATATTCCATTGTATTCAACTTTTCTTCCGAATATAAACACACCCAATAGAAACCTATTGATTGCTAAAGTAAAAATTAAAGTTAGAAATTGAATACATGTTCAAAGTAGTAAAGAAACCCATACGTACACTGTTAACAAGTTTTATAATAATATCGTCTTCAGACAAAACGTTAACCGTGCATGGTAAAATGTATTCAGCGACGCAGTTGGCGTTAAGTTTAATGTCCGTCTTATATTGTATTTCTTCAGTCGATGTTTTTATCGTTGTCT